ATCTATCTATCTATCTATCTATCTATCTATCTATCTATCTATCTATCCATCTATCCATCTATCCATCTATCCATCTATCCATCCATCCATCTATCCATCCATCCATCCATCCATCTATCCATCCATCCATCCATCCATCCATCCATCCACCCACCTCCCTCGGTCAGTAGATTTATGGCTTTTTGCTCCCTGACTTTTTACCCCTGCAGATGGCCGGAGCTGAAAAATTAATCTGGCCCATATTGAGGGGCTCCGGGGGCCATATTTGGCCTTGTGCAGAGTCGAAAAGACACACAACAAAATGTGGCCGGTTAAAAAAAAGCCCCACCAAATAAAAGAATGGGATAAAAAGGTTCCCAGACAGTGACTAGTAGTTGGCTTTGTTTGGGCCGGGGTCAGGCCAGGGGTGTGTGCTATCCCCTTCCTCCCCCTTACCCACCTCTGCCGTTCACCAGTTTGGCTATTACAAATGGAGGGGAGAGATAAATTGCTTTACTTAATAAATGATGCTAAAGCAAAGCTGAAATGGGGGAAATGTGCCCTTAAAAAGAAAAAAAGAACCTCAATTATGCCGGTCGAAAAATGGAAAATAATGAAAGAGATAAAAGAGGTGTCAAATCTGAAGCCTCACACGAAGCTCGGGGATGCTTGGACAGAGTCCATGTGCACTGATTTATTTGTCTTTCACTCTTTTCCTTTAAATATTCATCATGCCAAAAAGTTGGAGCTAAACTGTGTTTTTAATTTTGTTTTATTTTATTCTTAATTTGGGGGGATTTCTGCTCTCCATGCAGGCAGCAGCGTGTAACTTTGCAGCAAAGACCTCCAAATTACACCACGAGGAACAATTTCTTCTGTTGACTTGAGTTGGCTGGTGCATTAAGGAGCTCCTTGATGGTTTGAAGGTTGAACTAATAAGGCTTTCTATCTGATCTAATGAGTGTTTGTCTAAACAAGACTGTAATGAATGACTGATCAGATATAAATTGACTTATAGGTTCATTTTAAATAATGGAGGGGAACATGTTTATTTTCTTTTGGTGCATTTTAAACATTTCTTTAACCTAAAATGAAACATTTTGGTGTCTTTAAAGAAAGATTTTGGTTTTAAACTGAGGAAATATTGTGATTTTATTTAATTTATTGGTTAAAAAAGAACAGAACGCTGATTTTTTTTATCATTAGTAAAGCTTCAGTTTCATATTTATTGACTGTGCACTGGCGTTTAGCGCAATATTTCCCTCAGTCTTTAAAAGTCTGCTTCATAAGTGATTCCATCAGTGCAGAACACAGCGTGGCTCATTTGACTTAAGTTCTAATTTACAACCAGCACCCAGATCAGTGTTGATGTTTAAATGTATTCATCAAGCCCTAAATGAAAAGACTATGGTGTTGCAGTGAGCCGACCACAACAGGAGCAACGTTACAAATGGTGGAAAAAGGGAACAAGATACTTCACTTTCGTGTCACTTTACTGAAGCTTTGCGGTGTAACCAGGTACTGAGCTTGAGAACATGAAAGAGGGAGCTGAAGAAGGATGGGATCTTTTGGCTGAACAGAAGCATGGCAAACAGTTATCCTTGTCCTCCCCCCCTTTCCTGCTGTGGATGTTGATAGATGTCTAGTCATCGCCCATAGACTCCCCAAGAACCCAATCTGTGACTGAGGCAGCTCCACACACATTCGGTTCTACAGGGTATATATAGGCGAAGCTTCTCATCATGGGTGGCTGCTGATGACTCCTTTCTCTTTTGGACAGATGTTGATTTATATTTGAACCCATTAACAAAATGTTCTCATAGATTGTTTGGTCAAATTCTGCCTGAAAATACCAAAAATAATAAAAACAGAATACAATGGTCTCCAAATTTCACAAACTCAGTTTAATCACGATGGAGTACTGTGTAGTAAGTATATGTAAATGACAACATAAAGTATGTGATACAGGAGTATCACATCCTATGAAAGATGAGTTAAGGAAAACAAAAGACAGTAAAAGTAACAAATAAGAAACAGCTGGAGGAACATTTTACAAATAATTAGGTTAATTAACAGTCAATTAGAGGAACAGTCTATGAAAAACTACACCTAAAAATAGTGTCAGAATAAGCTATTTAATTGACACTGCTAAAACGTGTCATACAGTTCATATTATCAAGACGTTTTAAGGATCTGGAGAAATCTCTGTGCACAAAAGCCAAGAGGCAATATTGCAAAAACAAACAAACAAACAAAAACAGATCTGATGTTGGTGTTGACATCATTGCATGGGCTCAGGAACACATCCACAAATCATTCCTTATAAACAAAGCCCTGTGTCATTCACAAACGCTCATTAAAATTTTATTGTGCAAAGAAGAAACCATTTGTGACCATTCTGCTGTTTTTTTCTGCCAAAACTCTTAAAATGGACTTGGACAAAATCAAAAACTGTCCTGTGGTCAGATGAATCTAAAATTCTTTGTCAAAACTCCATGAATGTCTCCACACTAAAAGCAGAGGGACAAACCACCCTGTTATCAGTGCACAGCTCAAACACCTGCATTAATGGCATGGGCAGCTTGCACATCTGGAAATGAACAAGTTCATAAAAATGTCTCAATGTTAAAAAAAGCTGCACATGCTTCCATCCGGACAATATCTTTTTCGGGGAAGGCCTTGCATGTTACAGCAAGACAATGTTTAACCTGCACCATTACAAGAGTCTGGGTGCTGAACTGGCCTGCCTGCAGTTCAGACCTTTCCCCAGTTGAAACAAGACAACAGGACAAGATTCTCCTCCAAAAACTAACTGGTCTCCTCTGTAGACAGTTACAGACTGTTGTTAAAAAAGAGATGCAGCACATGGCCGTAATGTTTTAAAAGATCTGCCATATAATTTAAATTTTTTTTTGTCTTAAACTGGTATAATTTCTTAGGATAAAACAGTTTCTATTTTTATTTTGTTCCGTTGTGATGAAAATATGAGTTCATCCAATTTGCAAAATGTTCCATTCTATTTTTATTTGCAGTTTTCATGACATCCCAACTTGTAGCAATGCTTCAGTTTTGAAGAATAATCTTACTGTTCAGTGGTTTTGTATGATTTATGGATACCAGTTCTGCTGCTGTAGTGCTTTTGACATCAATAAGTCATTAAAAGGACACAGCACATTAATGTGTAATTACCAGTATCTATTAGACTGACAAACTCCGAGCTGCACTGAGTTGGTGGTTTTCAGATTTGTGAAATCTGTCTGCAGCCCAGTGGGGTATGAATTTATTAAGTAAAAATAAATCTGAACGAGTCATCTTCCACTTGAAGAAGTTAATGGTGGTCTTTTAAGAATGTTTAAAAGGGTTGATCACACTTGTTTTTTGTTCTGAAGTCTTTTTAGTAAGAAATATTTTTCTGATAATTGTTTTGTTTTAACATATTTGTTTCAGGTTTAGGTTTTATGCTGGTGTAAAACAAGCTAATCATCAAGAACGGCAGGCTTCAGTGTAAAAGGAAAACAGGTATGGTGCCAAGCCCTGTAGATTACATTTTGCACATTTTTCAAACTACTGAGAGCAACATTTTACACATCTCAGAAGTTTGTCTTCTAAAGTCAAACATTTAGAGATAAATGGCATTTGGTGGCTGGCCAAAGTGCACACAGTGGAAAGCATTTGGGTCTCAAATGGGGATATCTGTGCTTCAGCCCTGAGGGTGAGACTGAACTTTTTTCATTTTGATCTGGCTGTTTATGATGGTTCACAGCCCCTATAAATGTTTACAATTCATCAGCTGAGTGTCAGCAGCAGGAGTTTTAATCAGAGCTGCTTGAATTGGATTTTGTGAAAGCATGCTTGGTATTGGTCCTGTCGTGCAGACTGTTTTTGCTTGAAAAGCCTATATGTAAAATAATCAGTCAGCGAGGACGTGTAAATAACAGCCCATGTGTTGACTTTGCTCCTGCTCTTTTCTTTTCCACTTTTTGTTCCCACACACTTGATTCACGTGGAGAAACATGTTATTAAACCATTTCATAAAGCACTGAAGCACTACCCATTATTAAGTTGTACCCTGACCAGCAGCTTTGAAATGAAATTATACAGCAAAACACGCAGCTCCGTTGAAAAAAGGCATATGACTTTTAGTTGTGGTGCATCGCACTGCATGGCAAACATCCATCCATTATCTCTTACCCGCTTCTTCCATTTTGGGTCACAGGGGTCACCAGTGCCCATGTCTAGCAATCACTGTGCGAGGGGCGGGGTACACCCTGGACGGGTCGCAAGTCCATCACAGGGACACAGAGACAAACGAGACAAACAACCATTCACTCTCTCACACACCTAGGGACAATTTAGAGTTACCAATCAGCCTAACATGCATGTTTTTGGTCTGTGGGAGGAAACCGGAGCACCCGGAGAAAACCCACGTGTGCACGGAGAGAACATACAAACTCCACCAAGAAAGGCCACCAGACTGGGATTTGAACCAGGGACCTGCTCGCTGAGAGGCAGCAGCTCTACCAGTTGCAAACAGAGACAAAAATCAAGATTCAAAGGATTTGTGTCTCCATAGCACATGTTG